ATTAAGAAACTTGCTGGTAGTGGTAGGGGTGTAACCAACAATGAATTCTAGTTAAGAAAGAATACTTCCATGAACTTCACAAGAGAAGGAAAATACTACCACCATCATCCCCAGAGTCAGGGAGCTTCTGTAACTGCTGTAGGATTCTGCATTGCACAGCTACTGAAACTCCTGTCTGAAAAGGCAGTGGTGAACTCAGAGGTTGACATTTCACCACAACCACAGATTTTATGTGTATCATCATTATTATTATCATCCTCATGGCAGCACTGCTCCATTCTTACAGCCAAATTCACTCTAGTGAGGATTTTGCGCAAACTTTTGCCTTCCATATATGTAATTAATTAATAGTAACTTGAAAAGAATGGTATTTATGTCCAAAAATGAGGTATTCTGAGTCCTTGAAGTTTTCAAACTTCCTTGCCACAACAAGCTAATTTCAAAACATCTTGGAAAAATACCTTCCTCATTTTTAAGGGTATCTGACACCTAAACAGGTGTTGCCCCAGATAGTATTTTCAGAGCAAACCCTCTTCACTATCCCTTGTTGCCTAGGAATGGGTAGATATAGTAACTGAAGTAGAGTGAGTTATGCCTTTAGATAAACTCATTTTATTGCATATTTCTGTATGGAAGACTTCAGTCACCAGTTGTCTTTACACAGCATTTCCACTGTGAGGATCAAATGCCATTCTGGTAGTTGATGTATAGATAAGCAATCTGGGAAATCCTGAGGCATTCAAAGGATTTATTTAGGTCAAATATTATGTTTCATGCACACATATATATTTCTGCCAATCATTTATGTTCTTTAAGTTCTTTTCCCTGCAGATACAGCAGCAGTTGTGGTGGTGCAAAGGACATCAGAGATGGCCTTAAATTAGCTAGCTGAGATATGAGAAGTAATGAAGCCATGGCAAGCTGAAGCTCAGCATGTTTGGGCATATTTTGCTTCAGGATTTCCTGTCTGTTTGATGGCAGCGTTCATGCATTGGCACAAATCACTCTGCCCAAGCTGTGCCTCAGCTTACTCAGGGACCATTGTTTACACATACCTGGGAGCAGTATCTGGAGGAGAAAGAGGGAAGCAGCTTTGTAAATCACATCAGGGAACAGAATAGCTGAAGCAAGAAACTGCAGGTGTCATGGAGAGGAGCAGATGAACAGGATGACAGGTGGTTAGCATTGGCTGAGGGCTCGTATGGGACTTCCTAGGGTTTGGGAGAGACAAAGCAGAGGAGGAAGAGTTGGATTAGGATGGAAAATCTTTGGTATGGAGAAGGGGTCTGAGACTTTGGGGGTTTTAATAAGATCTCAAAACTTCAGTGTCTAAATAAATGGATTTTTTTCACAACTCATTCCTCCTCCTCCACCAGAATACGTTCACATATGATATTTAGGGACAGTGTTAAACACAAGTGAAATAGATTAAGAAATGAATGTAAAAGAATCAATTCTTTTGAACTGTGGTTGCATAATGGAAATCGACTGCTATGAATGAACCTATGTTCAGAAGTTATGAACAGCAGAGCTAATGCACTGCCATGAGTTCATCTTTATTATTGCATTACACCTGAATCAATTGATAAAGTAGCTTCTTTTTAAGGCTAGGAATGGCACTTAATTGAATAAAAGTCAATGTAATTATATTAGGAGAATCCAACAGTACTGCTGACAGCGGAAAAGGGACACTACTGAGCAGAGTGCCAGAACTGGTCCGCACATTTCTGCACATCGTTTGCCTGACAGATATTATGGGCTGGTACATACTTTAACTAGATTACTGATTGTTACTGCTGTAAGTGAGAATTTAATAAGGGAGGCATCTCTTCTTATCAGAGCATCAGCAGAGTTTACATCCTTGCACTGGTCTTTCTCAGAATGTCCTTTGTCTATCTGGGGCTTGGTGGCCCCTCTTAAACATGGCAGTTTATTCTTATTTCTTCATGTAGTGAATGCTGAAGTTATTTTCACTGCATGCCTGACTGTTGTTTTTCTCAGCAGCAAAGCAAGGAAATAGTAAGCACAAATGCATGGAAGCAGCAGTTACACCCTGACTAGCTTATATGCTGAAACAAATTCCCATAACACTGCAGTGAAGAGGGGAGAGAAGGGAAGAAATTATAAGTACACACATGAGTACTTTATGAATAGTTTTCAGTTAGCCTTATGATGATAAGCACAAATGTGTTTTTATGGTCATTTAATAACTCTGGTCAGTGTGGACAGGCCTTCACAGTAAGCGCTTCCTGTACTGAACTTAGCAACTTTACATGGAGCTACATTCCATCTGAAACCAGGAAGGCAAGGGACTATCAAGACTACTGTTTATCATTCATGTATGTTCACTGCATGCATCTGTTCAGAACTCATTTGTGGATAATAATGGGTGTGGTGTGAATATGCTTTGATTAATTTGTTTTATGTTTTCTGTATTGTGTGATTGAGTCAGTATCCATCAGGACAACAGTAAAAGTGATATCACAGCTGACAAAAACCAGGTTCACAGTCAAGACTTTTTTTAAAGTCTGTGTTTTATTGGTTTCAGATTTTTTTTTTTACCAGATATGTCTGGATTGGAATGTGAATTTGTTCTCTCTCTCTCTCTCTCTCTCTCTCCTCCCCCTCCCCCTTTCTTTCTCTTTTCTCCTCTCCCCTCTCTCTCTCTCTTTTGTGATCTCAATTTAGCAAAAGATTAGAAAGCTGATCTTATCACAAGGTAAGCTCAGCCTTCCTAAGTGCAGTGTGGGGATATGCATAATTACACTTCTATGCCTCCAAAAAGCAATGGTGCTATACTTGCTTGTGTGAAAAGAGTATTTCCCATGTGGGACAAAAGCAAGAAATACTCTCCACTTTTTCCACCCTTGCCCATACCTCTCAACTGTCTCTCATATAGGAGAAAAATCCTTTGTTCTAGACCACCCCCTTACTGGAATAACTGCATCCCAAGCACACACAATTCAATTAAACTGCCTTTCAGTATCAGTTTTATGTCAGAGAACAGTTACCTGCATTTGCAGGTGAATGGGACAGACTAGTTCTGTTGCTGTTTGCTATGTGCAACTTATGTGCAACAGATAAATGAACCACAAAGTGTTAGTAAATTACAGAGATTCACTCCACATCAATTCAATCTTCCTACATTTGCATTTGCTTTATTTATTTGCATTGTATTGCTGTACCATGTTTTTGACTTCAGCTGGTTGAGAGGTATGTTTCAAAGGGTTTCTTAAAATAAAAGCTTTCAATAAGGAAATATTGCTAATAGCTATTGTTCCTTTTCCCCCTTTTTTGTTAAAGTAGGACTTGAATGTCTGTAAAATATTTGATCATTGTTATGTCTTCCCATGCCAATTTTGTACCTAGTGCTTTTTGCAAATTAAGCTATTCCTATGTTAAAATTCTCTCTTTCTCTCTCTCTTTCCCCNCCCCCCCCCCCCCCCCCCCCTCCCGCCTCTTCTTTTCCCTCCTACATTTGGGCTCTGATCTGCAATTTATAATGGGCAGACAGACTGGTGAGTCTGCATGTTGTAAATTGCGGGTTTGGGTCCTTAGCTTGCAAAGAATGTTATGCAGTAGAACTTCGCTAATTCTTTTTTTGCTGACTCGAAATTCAAGTCACCCTCCAAAGAAACTGAATAAATATTTGTCATTTCCTCAGCAATGCTGCACATTCTGAAAACTGAACCCTAAAGTTTTCTATTACTGAAAACTTTACACTGATTTCTTATACTTAAGCACTTCAGCAGAATGAGCATGTTCTGTGGTCAGAGGTCTTTGATGTCTGTCGTGTTTGTTGGTTGCATCATTAATTCCGAAAATGCAATTTTTCAAAGAGGGTTTCCTGACACTACTGCAAATCAGTGAGGTTCTACTGCAGTGGATGAATAAAGCCAATGCCAAAAGTGGAGAGTAGAATGCAGTTTCAAATAATAGGCTATTTTACACGTTTACTAACCCAAAGGCTTAAATTCTTTGCAAATGTAGAGCTTTATTTCTTGAGAGCAAAGGCCCAGATCCTGTAAAACGCTGGAGAATCTTTTAATTTGTAGCTCTTGGGATCTGGTTTAAAATCCACTTCCATCAGTGACAGTTTTCCATTGTCTTGAATATCTGCAGTAACTTCGGCAAATACATAAACAAACCCATGCTTAAGTTTTTTGATTGATTTGGGGCAAAATTCTCACTGCCATTAATAGGGGTTTTTTTACTGGACTTTACACTGCTTGAATCAATCAGCACTGCATACAGATAGTACAGGAAAAAGGAAGGAGTGGCAGTGATAACTTAAAGGATGAAACTACTAACTTTGGCTAAGATTTTCAGAAACTTACACGTAGATTTCAAAGACTTGTTCTCTTAAACCCTTCAAGTCTTCTCCGTCTTGGTTTGGCCTGATTCTGAATCCCTTTATACGAGAATTAAATTACCAGAACCAGGGCCTCTGACAATGCCTTATTTGGTTACTCTTATTTTACTCTCCTCCTATATTTCACTTACAGAGCTATGCGAGTACATATATATAAATATAAACATATTTTTATGTATGTGTATGGATAATTATCTAAAAACATAGGTCCAGAGTAAGACATAGACACACATACATATATACCATATATCAATATTTTTGCCTCTTGAAGAAAAAGCAAGTCAGCAGGGATTCAGGAATCGAGAAGAGCATTTTGTATTTTCTGCTAGTATGAATTTTATTTTGTAAATTTCGAATAAAAGGGCCGTAGCTGCTGTTGGGGACTAATGTTGAGGAGCAGCAGCTAAAAGAAACACAATAAGGGGGGAATTTTCTTGTTTTGTTTAGTTTTTATGTTGCATTTTATCCACTTAAAGAAAGACTGAAATTTCCAAGCAACATGGATAGGGGATAATTTTTGTGAGAAATTATCAATAAATCATAATTTGGATTTGATGCTTGTTGACTGTATGTTTAATCAAAAATACTGTACATTTTTCCTTTTCTCCCTTCCCTCTTCCTTTCCCAGACACAGTGCTAACATAAACCTGCACCGTAAACTGTTGACCAAAGAACTGGATGACATGGGCTTGGACACTTCACAGCCTTCTCTTAGTAAGGACCTCCGCGATGAATTTTTGGTGAAGATATATGGCGCTCAGCATCAGATGGGGCTTGACATAAGGGAAGACACCTCCTCGCCTGCTGGCACTGAGGATTCCCATATGAATGGGTACGGCAGGGGCATGGCAGAAGACTATATGGTACTAGACCTGAGCACCACCTCCAGCATCCAGTCCAGCAGCAGTATCCATTCCTCAAGAGAATCTGATGCAGGAAGCGATGAGGGTATTCTCCTGGACGACGTCGATGGGGCAAGTGACAGCGGGGAATCTGCCCACAAAGCAGATGCCCCTGCCTTAGCTGTAGGTATGGGCACCGATGTCCCAGGATCCCTCATGTTCAACAGTGTTTCGGTGAGCAACGGTGGGATAATGTGTAACATTTGCCACAAAATGTACAGCAACAAGGGAACCCTCAGAGTGCACTATAAAACAGTGCACTTGAGAGAAATGCACAAGTGCAAAGTCCCTGGGTGCAACATGATGTTCTCCTCTGTCCGTAGCCGAAACCGGCACAGCCAGAACCCCAATCTGCATAAAAACATTCCTTTCACCTCAGTAGATTAGGTCAAGGATGGACACAGCATAATGCCAGCTCTCAGAGAGGGCCCACTACATCTGAACTGCCATATACAGTCTCCCTTTATATATATATATATGTATATGTATATATATACACACACACATAAATATACATATATATATATAACTTTTTCTTTTCTTTTTTAGCAAAAGAAAGAAACACCAGGTGCTTTTTCCCCTTTGATGGTTGTTGGGGTTCTTTTCCTTTTTTTTTTTTAATAGAAACAAAAATGTAGGACGTTTAATTTGGGGGAAGAGATCCTTCATTAAAAAAACAAACGAAAACAAACAAAAACCAAACAGAAACCTGCAGCTGTCCCTAGTTCTGTTAGAATGTTCTTGGTCATCTCCAAAGAGACAGTTTGTTCTTCCCATAACTTTTGCCTGAAAAAAAATAAAAAAGAAAAAAAAAAACAAAAAAAAAACCCAAAAAAACAACCAAACAAAAAAAAAGAAAAAAACCCAAAAAAACTAAACAAAACAAAACAAAACAAAACAAAAAAAGAACAAAAAACACACAAAAAATCCCCCCAAAAACACAAAAAAAATTGCAAACAAACAAAAAGAGAAAGAAAAATCTATCTACTTAGTTGTCTTTGTGTCTTCTAAGCATTGGGGATAACGTTCTACTAAGCATGGCTGTTACACTTGTATATATATATTGAGCCTTGACAGGCCTATGATGTAAAACAATTGTATTGATGGTGGTTTAACTCTAATTTTTTTGCTTAATTTTTACAGTTACATTCAGCTGTTAGATAAGCAGGAAAAATAGTTTGCTGCCTAGTTTTACTCATTTATGTTAGCTTTAATGCACATTTTTAAAAGAACCACGGTCTTGTTTTAACTACCTGCTAGATATAAGTAATACAGAGGTGCTGGCATGCTTTACAGTACCTGATTTGATACCGTTTTTTTGTCTTGTACTATTACATAAATCCAGTCATGCACTTTTTCGTACACTACAAGGGGATGTGTAATAATATCCATGCTTTTTTTTTTCTTAAACTATTGCCATATTTTCAGTAAGTGTCTTTAAAAAATACACTTAGATAAAAGTGATCTGGTCAGTATGAGGGCATGAATGCCAAACAAAGAGTATTAGTGTTTAGTGTTAATACAAAAGTGCCAACTTTGCACACATTTTGAAAAAAGAAAATGTAGTTATTCACCGTAACCACAGCTGTAGTTTTTGGACTACACACAGAAAAATACTGGGGAGGGAAAAGGGGTAAAGTGAAATACAGAATTCTTGGTGCTTTTTTCAAGTGCCAATTATTACTAGAAACAATAGTGCATCCTTATTCCTTATATACTACATTGCATAAAAGAAAAAAAAAACCAGAATTTTGTCATGTGAACCAGTAGAAATTTTTTTTTGTCAAACATGCATAATATTTGGGGATATAAATGCTGATACTACTTGTCACAGAACAAAGATGAATATAATTTTGTGTGCTTCTTATTATAGCCTGGATTTTTGTGGTGTTTTAAGAAAAATCAAAACGAACAGGGAAATAATGTTAACTATGTTGTTCTGTAAAGTTGTCTTTTTTGCAATGGAAAGTGCTGTAGTATGATTAAGGCATGTTTTATAGAAGCAATCAAAAGAAATTAATGGCAGAAGCACTTAGTAGCTCTGAAAACATATGCTGGACTTTTTATTGGGTAACTCTCCCTTTGGATAAAATTAGAAGACAGAGAAAAAGGATGTCTAGTTGTGTTAATGTTTTGTGTTTCACTCGCATGATTTTTCAGAAAATAACAGAAGTCCAAGAAATATAGTGAGCAAGAGAGCAAGCACAACCAGGAGACAGGGAAGGATCAAGCAGCTGAGAAAGGCAGAGAGAAAGGAGGCTGCCCTCTGAAATTTTTTGTTTCCGGTGTTTACACATATTGCTTGAGCTGGTAAACCACACTGGCAGCCTTAGTTACCACAACATACTGACTGAGGGATGGTATTTACTTAAGCTCAATCTACAGCCAAAGCCATTAGGATGTGTGTTGTAGGCTCTTTTCTTTACAAAACGAATAACAATAACAAAGCAAAAACAAACAAACAAACCCCTAAGGGATATTTCAGCATACAATAAAATATTCCTTCAATGAGAATGTGTTCCTTTTCTGTATTTACTGACCCAGAACATTATTCTTCTTAGCAAAGAGTCAGAAATGCTCCATTGTTTCAGCTTGTCGCTATATTGTTTTGCTGTGCATTTTTGATTATTCTTACTTTTTATGTCCACTTGAGTACTTAACTCCTATTACATTTTCTAGAGGAAACTCTTACTATAGAGTTCCTCTTTTTTAATACTTTTTATGCATTTCAGTATTTTTGTTTCCAGAAGTAGGAATCAATATCTAATAAATCAGTATTTCCAGTTCTAGAAAATAAAAGAAAAATATTTTTAAATGAATTCTCACTATGTTGCTATGAGTTACAAGCCTCTGATCATTTTTTTTATTCTTTACACTCATAAAGCCCTGAAAACATTCGTGAATTCCACAGTAACTATAAGGAAACTTTCCTTCTGGTTTAACAAAAAGAAACTTTATTGCAAAAAAGTAAGCTGTTTCACTGACACTTTTTTTCAGCTTTTTTATTTTCTTTAAAATCTCAACTACTTTGCCTTGTTGAGTGGAGAGATCTGCTTTGTTTTGCTTTATGTTGTGCCAGCTCAGTGTGTTTGTGAGAAAGAGAAATTAGAACACTAAGGGTGCATTTTTCCAAAACACATAACCTTTGTAGTGTTACCTGTACTGCACCCTCATCTCTCCTCCCAGGCTAATAGGAAAAAAGTAATATAGAAAGTCTAAAAAATAAAAGAACAAAAATTGAATTATATATACAGAAAAAACACCCCCACTCTTTTGTAGTCTCATGGTATAAATAAATATAATTTTTAATGAGAAAGGCATTTGAGGTATATAAATAATTCCTCACTGAATGAATCACTGTTCAGCATTCATATTTCACTATGATTCTTTAGAGGTCAAATGGGTTTGGTAAGCTTGTTTGGAGATTTAAGCATCACATGTAGATAAATTCAGCAGATTATTGACATAGAAGAAAAAAAAATCTGTTTATTATACAAAATTGAACAACACATTCTAAAAAGTAAGGAAAAAGGGACAAACTTCCAAAAACTGCTAGAAGCTCACAAGTCCTACTTTTAATTTCATTCAGATTTTGCTTAAGCTATGTAGAAGATGTCATCTCTTTCTTGTGGACAGAGCACTACTCACTGTTATTTTTAGGCAAATCTAGGTAAAAGTAGTTTCTTCAGCATTAGTGATACTGATGTCAAAACAGTTTTTTTAGAAAGGCACTTACACTTACTTTGAATTGAATGGCATTTCCCTCCTTTCAACTTAGCATGCATCTCTATGAGAATCTGTATTTGTCAGAATGTTCTTGTGGTGGAATTTGTATTATCTGAAAAATTCATAAAGGGGCTCTGGCACAGTAGCTTGGTTTTACTGAAAGTAGCATTTCTGGATGATCGCAGCAGATACCCAGAGTGCAGTAAGAATAATGACCAAACATCTCATCTCTTCAGCACAGAACATGGCCTGTAATAGTGTGATGACATGATAAGTATTGTGCAGTTGCTTATGTTATCACAAATTTGTGGCTATCCCTTCAGTTTCCAAACCTGTCAGTCTAAACTATTTTGAAAGAACTAGACCAGTTTTGAGGAAGATACTTTTCCCTTTACATGGAGTTTGTTCCTTCTTTTTTTTCGGTTCCTATAGTTATTGTGGTCACTCTTTCCATATTGTTTCACTGTTTATTCAAGGTAGTTGTATTTTTCTGTAAATATCAAAAAAGTTTTGTCTGCAATTAGAAAATAACTGTACAGAACCTTCTTTAGAGACAGAACTATTTGTCTGGAGGTTATTTAGGATTTTTCTTTTCATTGTGAGGGTTGGGGGGTATGGTGTGTCAGGAAACCATATGTTAATGGTTAATCACTACATATCTTTTGAAAAACTGTATGAAAATTTGGAAGAAAAACAGCACAGCCAAAGCACAAGAATGGAAACCATGAGTTTTAACACCCCTGGTAGCCCCTTCTAACTTTTTAGTCTCACACGTATCATATCACTTATCCATTTATGTTTCAGTCTGTTAGACTATCACTAATACTAATATGATTTTGCCCATAAGCGTGCTCCTGCGAGGACTAATTAGCTGGTATTAGTAAAGAGCTAATTTAACTCATAAATATTTTTGCACACCTTAAAATATTTAGTCAATTTTTCTGAGCTATGTCTCAACCAGGTACGTTTTGTTATGCCTGAGATTTTTAACCTTGCCTTTTAAATTGTAGCTGATGCTATGGTGACAGTGTAGTCATGCACACAAGGTATAAGCACTCTGTCACCGAGTCACAACTCAATTTTACAAAAGTGAAAGGTATAGATTAAAAACCTTAATAGCACATGGACACTGCTCTTAAAGATCTCTCAAAGGCTTTTCATGTCTGAACTCATAAAATTTCTATGTTTCCTAGGGATCTGTAGATACTTTACACAGAAGAAGTTGTGCAACATATTTGCCATGGGTAAACTGCAGTGTATCTTCCTTCCTTCCTTCTTTTCTGGAATCCTTCCTTCCTTCCTGGAATCCTTCCTGGAATCCTTCCTTCCTGGAATCCTTCCTGCCTTCCTCCCTTCCTCACTTCCTTCCTCCATCTCTCCCTCCCTTTCCACCTCTCTTCTTCCCTCTCTGCCTCCCTTCTTCCCTCTCTCCCTCCCTTCTGTACTGGAACTGAAAGTGTACTTTCTCTGCCTGTTCCACAAGTTTATACATTTTCCATCTCCTGTGTGCTTCCCATTCCATCCTCAAAAAAGGAACAGTTTAGGAAAAATTATTAGATACCGCAAAATAGCTGCCAGCAGTGGTCAGTACCACAGTTGATTTGGTATAGTACAATTAATAGGAAATGGGGCTCCCCAGGATGCACTTGAGTTTTCCCTGAGTTTTAGCCTTTTCAACCCAGTTAAGGATCTAACATAGCTAAATATATGGGGTAGGAATGTAAAGTGACAAGACAAGGAGCTGTGTGTGTATCATGAAATTTCAGAAATATGAAATAATTCGAGGTCTGATCTGTTCCAGAGATGGAAACCATTTCAAGACCAGAGATTTAGTTCCAAAAATTT